GGGGGCGGAGGGAATGGGGGGAGCGGGATGGGGCGGAACTGTATTCTAGGCCCAACTAGACGGACCACACCTGTGGTAGGTAGGTGTCTTTCCTTACCAGTTCTAGAAACAAAATTATTAATCCCCACTCCCCAGGCCAGCAGTGTCATCGTACACTCACCCAGCACAATCTCTCCACGCCCAACCCATTCAAAGCAACACCAAAGTACCGCGAAGGAAGAGTCGCCACTCGGTTTCACCAGTAACTCAGCTCCCCCTGAAGTGTGCTGCCTAAGTGTTTCAAGAGCTAATATCCCCCCCCCCCCCAGATTGAACTCAGGCTCTTGCCAGGGAAGCGCTTATTCCACTGAGCCATCTCCCTGGCCCCAAGCCAGGCAATCTCTTCATTCCTTAAACTAGTTTTCTACACGTTTGATCCCACATTTTCACAGGTTATATACTCTGCCTGGAGTCCTATCACTGCCTACATCCTTCCCTTAACATCATCCTGGAAGTTTCAGTTCCAGTGTCTCCTATACAGTACCACCTGTCCCAATGTGCCTGTTATGTACTTCCTCATAATCCTTTTTACAGCTGTCACTAATGTACAGTGTAATTGCTTGATGTTGTCTTTTCCCACACCCCTTCACAGCTCCTGGAGGCACTTAAGGATTCTATTGGAGACCTTTGATTTTTACAAAACTATTAATTAGGCAAAGGTATGAATAAGGAAAAGGAATTGTTTCTTAAATCATTTTCCTTCCCTTCAATTTAATTGTACCCCTTGTAGCCAGCTAATAGTTTGTAATCTCTTCTCAAAACAACCCATTAAATATCCATAGACTGTCATCCTGTCCTCCACACTTTTTCTCTAGGCCCAAAATCCAGTCAACCACTGGACAGCTGTTAATTGAGCACCTGTTATGCACCAATGCGATGACTGGGGATTCTTAATCCATTCCTTATTCTTGGTGGGAAAGATGAGACAAATTCTCAGGCAAAAGCTATGTTCTGCCCATGTCTCCTCAAACAGTCACAGCTGCCCAAACTGCCTTTCTTCCCCTGCTTGTCTGGCAACGCTATTAACCCACTAAGAACTTGCCCCGTGTTTTGTCTTCTACAGGGCTAGCTGTTCCTTTTTCCAGAACTCATACAGAGCCACCTCTGTTAGAGCCCTCTTTGCTGTGGACTGTATTTCTGGGCCTCCCCTACCTACTAGAGTACTTGAGGAACTATGTCTTGGCCAGGACTACATTCCAAGGCTTCTCTCCACTGTGCACTTTGTAGACAAATGATACTTTTTTTTGTCAAATCATAGCATAACTTGGAGATCTTTGCAGAACCCTCACTGCCCCCTTGGCTTGCACTTCCCCACACCCAGTGCTTCCCCAAAGGTAAGGGGTTTTGCTGAGGAACTAGAGCTCAGTAGCTCAAGTGCTCTAAATGTAGAGGCTTTAAGGAAGAAGAACAGCTGAGGGCCAGGGAGATAGCTCAGTAAAATAAGCACTTGCCTGGCAAGCACAAGGTCCTGAGTTCAATCCCCAGTATTGCAAAAAACAAACCAACAAACAAAAAAATAACAGCTGAGACTAACTTTAGTAATAGGGCTATGTGCTGATGACTTTATTACGGCTTGTTCTAGCTGTCCTCCCAAAGCTTTATGTGGTCATAGGTGGGCTTTTCCACAGATGGCTGGATCTAGAGTATGTGACTGATTCACAGTGCAACACTGGGATTAAGGGTGGGTGATTACTAACTCAGCACACTGACTGGTTTGACACCACCCTAGTCCCAGTAGCCTGAAGAGAGTATAAAAGGGGCAGAAAAAGGTTGCCGAGTTCCCTTGCTTGTTGGGCTTCCTTCTGCCCTCTCAGAAAATATTTCTGCTCTGTGATGCCCATCATGCCACCCTGCCTTGGAGCCAGTCAGTAATGGCTTACAGCGTACAGCTCACAGCTTACAAACTATGAGCTGAATAAGTATTTTCTCCTTTAACTTTGGGTGTCAGGTATTTTGTCTCAGCAATGAGAAAAGTAACTAAGACAAGTACTATTATTATCTCCATTTTACAAAGCAGGAGAAACATGAGGCCTAGAAACCTGCCCAAGTCTCAGAATCTTAGTGGTAGAGCTGGGAATGCAAGCGTGGCTGTTAGCTTCAGCATAGTATATTAACATTGGGCTACATTCAGATCTTGATCCTCAGGGATGTCACAGCTGCCTGGCCTAAGCATGCCTTGGCTATCAAGGCATGCTCACCGGGACACTTTTCCTTTTTTGGGTTAGAGGCAGACGTGCAGCTATTCCCTAGTGAAAGAGTAAGTGTAAATTTGAAATATTTTTAAGCAATACATGGTGATGCATACCTGAAATTAATACAGCACTCAGGAGGCTGAGACAGGAGAATTGCTTCAAATTCAAGCTTATACTGGGCTACCAACTGAGTTCAAAACCAGTTTCTAAACTACATAGCAAGACCCTGTCTCAAAAACAAAAAAAAAATAATGGCCAGGAATGGTAGTTCTTGCCTGTAGTCCCAGCACTAGGGAGGCTGAGGCAGGAGGATCAATGCAAATTTGAGGTCATCCTGGGCTACATAGTGAATTCAAGGCCAACCTAGACTGTGTAGTTACATCCTGTCACAAAAAAATAAAAAATAAAGGAGGGGTTAAAAAAGGAAAGGAAAAAAAAAAGGAAAGGAAAAGATTTTCAGGTAGCTTTTTCCTTCAGAAATCCAAGGGTATAAACCTGTGAGAGCTATTATAAACACATAACCCTACTGTCACTTTCTGGGACACTTGCTTCTTTTTCTTGGCAGAACAAGTGATTTACTAATTAATTTTTATTCAGCATAGTACAGCTCTTCCTTCCTAGGACACAGGAATCATTCTTAGAAGAGCAGAAGAGGGCAAGGTACAAATGGTAAACAAATCTTCCTGGCCAAACTAAAGTCTGGAGTTGTCCCAAAAGTAACAATAAGGGAATTCTGATAAGGGAATGTCCCAGACTACTTGGAGATAGGGTCAGTTAGGATTCTAAAAATGAAAAAAAAAAATTGTTGAGCATGATGGTGCACACCTGTAATCCCAGCAGTCAGGAAGCTAAGGCAAGAGGATCCTTGGGAGTTCCCAACCTGAGTTACACAGTAAATTCAAGGTCAGCCTGAACTGCATAGTGAGACCCTGTCTCAAAAAGACAAAAAAGAAAAGAAAAAAATTGAGCCAGTCAGGGCAGCACACACCTGTGACTCCAGCATTCAGGAAGGCTGTGGCAGGGGGATTGTTAGGAGTTCAAGGCCAGTTTGAGCTACAAAGCCAGACCTTGACTCAAAAACCAACCAACCAAACAAACAAACAAACAAAAAAGAATGCCAGGGTGCTTGATCCAAAACATTTGTTACCTACAGTGTAGGTACAGAGTCCTCAAGATAGACAGGGAGGAAAAAAAAAGATGTTCTACCTAGGTTTGTCGAACAAGGAAGTCAAAACAGAGTTTATATGAGGTTAAGGAATTCAGCTTAGGGCCAGGGCTAGTTTCTTTCAGTGTTTTGGGAAACCATCTAAACACCTTTATCAGTGACTGGAAATTTTCAAGGCCATGGATTGGGTTCAAGACTACAGAACACACACACACACACACACACACACACACCCCACAAAAATAAATAATGCTCCAGTACACCAACAGTGAGCCCACCAAGAAGCAAATTAGGAAAACAATCCCATTCACAATAGCTTCAAAATAAAGTAAATACTTAGGAATCAACCTAACCAAGGAGGCGAAAGACTTCTGCAATGAGAACTATAATATCCTGGAAAAAAAAAGAGATTGAAGAGGACATCAGCAAATGGGAGGATATGGGGTTAGCGAGATAGACAGGCAGTCTAAGGACCTGCCTGGCAAGCTCAAGGACCAGGGTTTGATCCCCAGTACCACATGCCGTGCAGGTCCAGGACTCCCGGCCAGCTATTCAGACCACTGAAACCGGGCGTGGTGACACACGCCTGTAATGCCACTGCTGGCGAGACTAAGACGGGAGAATCACTATGAACCCAAGCTGTGTAGCAAGACCCTGTACCAAATAAATTAAAAAAATTTGTTTGTTTGTTTTTGTTTTTGTTTTTAAAAAAGGAAGCCTACAGGAACCCAGCATCTCTGTTGCTATAAAGCCAGGAGGGAGAGAAAATGGTTTACATCTCGAATGGGCAAGTGTTAGACAGTTGGATTTAGTCCCTGTGGAGACTATTGTTAATAACATTTTTATGGGGAATAGCGGAGTTTGTGGTTTTGATTTTCAAAACTCTGCTTCAGCAAGATGTGAAAAAAGGAAGAGGCTACAGAAACTCATCTGATTCCAGATGTGATGATGGAAGAGGTTTACCAGGAAATTCTCCCTGAAGAATGGGTCAGATCAGTCCTCTTCATGGTCCCAGTCCTCCTCCAGTGGCTGGTGGATGAGGAAGGTAAATATCTGCTGTAAGAAGCAGACAACTAGACATGCACACTCACAGGAGAAACCATCAGAAAATGGAGGTCTTTTTTGTGTATTTATTAAGTATAAAATAATTTTAATAAATATTTTAGGTTGCCTACTACTAACCTTTTCATTTTAATAAATATTTTAGGTTGCCTACTACTAAACTCTCAACCTCAAGAAAATAAATAGCATTAATTATTGTAACTGTCCTACTAACCTGTTTTTGAAACTGTTTCATTGCTATTTTATCTTTTTTCTCATTAAAATGAATAAAAAATTAAATAAAAAACAAAAGCACAAATTGATGAGGGAAAAAAGAAAATAAATAAAAGGCTGTGTATTTAGTACTAAAAAAGAAAGAACGCAAGCAAGCAAGCAAGCTCCTGTTCCTGGATAAATAGAACTAATATGGTCAAAATGGCCATATTACCAAAACTAATATATTGATTTAATACAATCTTAATCAAAATACCAACAGCATTCCTCACTAGAGAAAATAATACTAAAAATCATATGGAACCAAAGGGGACCCAAAAGAGCAAAAGCAATACTGGGCAACAAGAACAAAGCAGGGGGGCCGGGGAGATGGCTCAGTAGGATAAGCGCTTGACTGGCAAACTCAAGGATCTGAGTTCAATCCCCGGTTCCGCCAAAAAAAAAAAAAAAAAAAAAGAACAGAGCAGGTAGTTAGACCCAGCGGGGCATGCCTGTAATTCCAGCACTCAGGAGGCTGAGGCAGGAGAATTGTGCCCAGATGGAAGCCAGCCTGGGCTACAAAGTGAGGTGAAGGCCAGCATGACCTGCATAAAGAAATCCTATTTAAAAAAAAAAAAAAAAAAAGCAAAGCAGGTAGCCTCACAATCCCAGATTTAAAGTTATATTATAAATCTACAGTGATCAAAAACAGCATAAAAAAAAAAAACAGCATAGTACTGGGACAAAAACAGATGTGAATCAGTGAACTAACCCAATACATCCAGCTATCTGGTGTTTGTTTGTTTTTGTCTTTTTGAGACAGGGTCTCATTACAACGTAGTCCAGGCTTGCCTTGAGCTCACTTTGTAGCCCAGGCTGGTCTAGAACTTCTCACAATTCTCCTACCTCAGCCTCCTGAGTGCTGGGATTACAGGTCTGTGCCACCATGCCTGGCACATTCAGGTATCTGATCTCACTACAAAGAGGCCAGAATCACGCTGGAGGAAAGATAGCCTCTTTAATAAACAATGCTGGGAAAACTTCACATGTAGAAGACTGAAGCTAGACCCTTATCTGTCACCACGTACTAGACTAAAATCAAAATGGACCAAAGACCTAGATACTGAAACAGAAACACTGAATGTGATGGAAAATAAAGTAGAAAAAACTCTTGAAGACACAGGTATGGGGAAGGTCTTCACAAACAGAACCTCATTTGCACAAGAAATGACACCAAAAATCAACAAATGGGACTACATCAAATTTAAAACTTCTGCACAACAAAGAGATAACCTATGGAATAGGGGAAAAATTTTTTTTACCAGCTTTGGACAGAAGACTAATATCTAAAATATGTAAAGAGGAGCCGGGGAGATGGCTCAGTGGAATAAGCGCTTCCCTGGCAAGCGCAAGGGCCTGAGTTCAATCCCTGGTTCCGCCAAAAAAAAGAAAAACAAAAAAAAAAAACTAAAATATATAAAGAACCAAAAAAATTTAGACTTCAACAAAATAAAATACACAATCTACTGGATTCAATCCCCAGTTCCACAAAAAAACAAAACAAAACAAAAAAAACCCACACACTATCAAAAGATAGGTTATTGAGAAACCAGGCATGGTGGCACATGCCTGTAATCCCAGCTCTCGGGAGGCTGAGACAGGAGGATTACTGTGAGTTCAAAGCCAGCCTAAGCTGCATAGTGAGTTCAAAGCCATCCTGGACTACATAGTGAGACCTTGTCTCAAAAAATAAATAAATATATATATATTAAATTTTATTTATTTGTGTGTGTGTGTGTGTGTGTGTGTGTGTGTGTGTGGCCAGCTCAGCCCACCAGGGGGCAGCGCTGGCTGGCATGTGGTGCTGGGGGATTGAACCGCGGTCCCTGTGCTTTGCTAAGCTTGTTCTAAGTAGGTGCTTTAGACCACTGAGCCATCTCACCAGCCCCTAAATAAATAAATAAATAAATAAATAAATAAATAAATTTAAAAAATAGGTAATTGAAATGAAGAGCACCTAGGGTAGTGTTACATACATGTAGTCCTAGCACTCAGGAGGCTGAGGCAGGAGGGTTGCCACAAGTTTGAGGCTAGTCTGAACTACTTACTGGGTTCAAGACCAACTTGGGCTACACAGTTAGATCCTGTCCCAAAAATCTAAAATAAACAAATTAATTAACTTCTCAAAAAAAGTACAAATGACCAATAAGTACTGTATATGAAAAAATGGTCAGCATCTTTCTCCATTAGAAAAATACAAATCAGAGGGCCGGGGAGATGGCTCAGTAGAATAAATGCTTCCCTGGCAAGTGCAAGGGTCTGAGTTCAATCCCTGGTTCTGCAAAAAAAAAAAAAAGAAAAAGAAAGAAAGAAAGAAAGAAAGAAAGAAAGAAAGAAAGAAAGAAAAAAAAAAAAAAGAAAAATGCAAATCAAAACAAGACCAAGATCTCATCTTACTATAGGAATAATGACTGCTATCACAAACTCAAAAAACAACAAATTCTGGCAAGGTTGTAAGGGAAAAGAAACCCTTCCATATTGTTGGTAGGAAGGTAAACTAATACAATCATTATGAAAATCAGTATGGAAATTCCTCAAAAAAACTAAAAATTTAAATTCTGTTCAGCCCAGCTATACCTCTTATAGGTATCTTCACAAAAGGTAAAGACAGTGATACATGCATAGCAATACCTCCGTGCCCATGCTTATAGCAGCACGACTCACAATAGATAAATCTTGCAAATAGCCCATATGTCTATCAACAGACAAGTGAATAAATAAAATGTATTTATACACAATAGAGATCCTTAGTAATCCATAAAGAAGAATAAACTTGAGCCATTTGTAAGAAAATGAGACACCATGAGACCATAATGCTAGGCAAAATAAATCAGACACAACCTGAATATTACATGATTTTTCTTGTATGAGAAAATCAAAGTATAACAGTAGAACAAAACAGAAGATAAGATGATAGAAAAAGAGAGGTAGGCCTTTTGCAGATAGGAAGGGATCTAGGGATGGAGGCAGAGGTGAGGGAGAAGAGTGCAAAGGGAAGTTAAAAAAAAGACCAAGAAAAAAATATATATCAACTCCCTACAGTGACAATACTGTATAAATAAATAAGCAAATAAAACTATAAATTGGGCCCTTGCATTTCTCCTGTAAATTGAACACTACTTTGTATAAATTCACAAATTCCACAGATTTTTTTTATCCCAAAATTCTATTAACTACAACCAGCCACAGATCATAACGTACCTTTTGAAGGACCTCAATTTTCTTCGAGTGCATACTTCTTTAATTCTTTTTT